ATCGTGATTTGAAATAGATATTTGCGTTCTCTTCTCTTCCTCCGCCTCTGCTTCTTATCTTTTTCTTTTCTCTGCTTCTTTCTTCATCTCTTGTTTTTTTTTTTTTTTTTTTTCTTCTTTTTTCCCCCCCACTTCTTCCTTCACTTTTTCTTAATGCTCTCTACTCTTGTTACTTCATCAGAATGTTGTCAAGGTCTTCTTTGTGCTCTTTTCAAATATTTGTATAATTTGATCTTCATTTTTTTGGGGGCGTCTCAGTTTTGAGAATCAAAATCGGAAGTTCAGCAAATGATTCATGACAATTCCCACCAATGCGATGTGATTGTCTATACAGATGGCTCTGTGTTGTGAGGTAGACAAAGTGCAATAGCAAAAATGATTGCACATCGCTTTGTACAACAAAGCCTGGCATTTAATACATCTAGTTTGAGAATGGAGGTGGAGGCAATCACTGAAGCCTTCCACTGGCTTGAGAACCAGGTGCACACACATGTCGTAACTGTCTCACAGAGCATGGTGAGAAAGGTGGAGAAAGGTATGCTCTGTGCAGAGTGGCAAGCATTGCTTCAAAGGTCCCACTAGTTGGCATACTTTGGATATTTTCTCCACAGCACGGTGTATTTGAAATATGAAAACAGGCAGATAGATTGTCTAGTCCTTACCACTTGGTCGTATGATTGATACGTGACAAGCTAGATGGAGCAAGTAAACAGTGCTGAAGCTCAAATAGGTCATCATGGTTTGGAAGAGCGAATGATGCAGTGAGCGTAACCAGGGGATCTGGCCAGAGCTCAGCACTTGGGGTAGGAGAGAGATGGACCTACAATCAGACTGTTACTGGTACCATCAGAATAAGGACTCTGTGCTCGCTGCTGAAGATAGGGACGCAACACTTATAGGAATGTCCTGAGTGTTGTAATGTCAATTCTCAGCTCCACACCGTGAACACCCGACTATAAAATGGATTCAAGTTCTGGAAAGAAGACACCAAAGTCCAGAAGTCACTGAACAACCTGTACTTTCCACCAGTGTTTACAGAAGAATATATATATACCCCCCCCTAATATATCTACCTATATATATATCTATATATATATATATATATATATATATATATATATATATATATATATAGCTATATATATAATATATATATATATATATATATATAT